CGGACGCAGGAGCGCCAAAGGCGCCCCAAGCCCAAGCAGCAGCCCTTTTGGCCAGGGAGACAACCGACAGGTAATCCACATCGCCTACCACCAGACAATGGTTCCTCACTCAGATAAGTTGGGGAGTGTTCCAGCCTCTTGAACCATGGGAAGCAGAAGGACCCCCCTTATAACAGTTCTCCCACCACGGTGGATCGGAGGCCGCAGCTCCTCGACGTCACACAGGAACCGACCAGATGGACAGTTTGAGGAGGACAGTGCTCAGGTTCGACACACTCAGCAGGAGGAGGAGACTACCAGCAGTTTATTGGATTCTTTATGTTTAATTGTGTTTCATTTGTGATTTATTAAATAAATAAATAAATAAATAAATAAATAAATAAATCTTAATGGTTAAAAGGTGCAATAGATACTTGGGAAACAAAGTGCAATAGAAACATACAAGAATGGGAACATCAAATTAAAAGTCCAATCAGCAACTAGGAGATATCCATTAGTGTTAGAAGGAGGAAGGGGGGTGGGGGGGCTTAGATCTGGCTGCTGTGGGCTACAGTACTGGCAGTCCAAAGAAAAACGGGGCCCACATCTATCCATTCAGTTTGAGTGAAACAGGATATAGAGCCTTAATTATAGGCAATGATTGACAGTTTAAGACAATAGTCTGGACAGAAGACTGAGTGTTGATTGCATGAATGTTAATCAATGGAGTAGTGTATTCTATTAGGATTTTGTCACTAGTGGTTACTATTACTCACTAACCTACACAAGAGAAACAGTGAACCAGTGCAATAACAGCAGGAGAATAGGCCATGGAGACCACATTCTAGATGGGATCGAAGAAAGACAAAGGGCAAGTATTTTAATGATGCATCCGTTCCCCTTTTAAAGCGCGGCCAATAGAATGATGAAATCATTTGCTCCTGGGAGGCATCTGCAGTCATGAACACAGAGACACAGGCAATGCCACGGCCAAAATCGATCAAAATTGGGCGTCACAGCGAGTGGAATTTAATAGAGAAATTGTTAGATTACATGTGAAATATAGTAGCTCAGGTAATCCCAACCCTAATACTTAATAACCAGTGGATCTGTTGGCCACGACGGAGCCGCATACGATAGCTCTGTCACCAGAGGAGGGGTGTCTAGGAAGCTGCTGACTGTTGACTGCTGACGTGTGGGTGCACAGTCACCTGTGCACCAAAACTTAAGCACCCCTCCTCGGACCAAACCCAACAGCACGCGGGCCCTGGAAGGTCATGCCCCTGGTAAGGCAGAGCTTGGGGGAAGGGAAAGGGGTAGGAGGGGGGCCAGTAGGCCCTGTGTTCGGTCTATCTAACCCTAACCCTATCCTAACCCTACATTTACCTGAGACAAATGGAAAAGAAGAAGGAAAGAAAGAAAGAAAAACAAAGACGTGCAAAGATGTCTTTGGAGAATTGCGAGAGCAAATCTGATTTGTTACTCCCGTGTAGAAAGTTTTATAGTAAAGGTGTATTCTTGTCTTTAATTTATTAAAATAAGGCGTATCTTTGCTCATCCAACCAGAAGCTGTCTCTGACCCTCTTTAAAAGTTAGAAACTCCCTGCAAGTTACGATCTAAGGCCATTTGTCCCCTTTTGTCTAAATAAAATGGAAGCAGAGACTCTCTTGAACTCCTGTTGTTTTATGGCTTTTGATGGATCTGTGTGAAAAGCTGGAACTTCTCCTGATTGTTTCCCACACTGACAAAGGGCAGTTCAAAAGATATTAGCAAACCATCTGCTGTAACTACAGGTAAAATAAAGGTCAATAGGGCAGAATAAGTTATTAATTTTAAAACTATAATTAGGCTATTTCAATGAAGACATATTAAGTTTTAAAACTAGCATATTTTAAATGAATTTTCTTAACAATAGTTACTTCATTTTTCTGAACAGTGCCCAGTCAGTCTGACTGTTAGTTAAAGTATGTTTGTGGAGTTGCTATACAGAACAGAAAAACAGCTATCATCTACTAAACCTATTCTTGGGATCTTGCTAACACACCAGTGTATTTTTTTTTTCATAAAATTGATTGACTTTTACATCATCAACTTGTCCGTACTGGGGTCTGTGCCCTTGTTTGAGCATGCATGACCTGCCCTGATTCGTCCAGTAAGATGATGAATCCAGCTGATCAGCATTTTCATTAATTAAAATAAATATGCAAAGTTTTATAACCAAACAAAATACATTGAAAGATAAACAAATGTGCATACAGAGATGATTTTATTGTAAGACAGAGACACTAACCAACATTTTTATATAAAGAATGATGCACTATACAGAAAGTGGAAAGAGTCAGCATAAGTTACAAACTTTGGTACATTCTGGTTAATCAGACAGATTGTATATTCAGTAAGAGAGATTCATCTTAATGTGATCATTGATGAAAACTGACATTTATAGTTAAATAAATGCCCCCCACTGGTTTTCAACGACTGATTTATATTCTTTCAAAGAGTAAACAAAGAGAACAATAAAAGAATGACTGATTTAAAAATTCTAATATTTATTAACTGCTTGGCAGAAATCTTATTTCTCAACCAATTAGAACAGAGGCACCACCTACTGTCTGTAGTTTCATGGAGGTCCATCTGCATCAAGGATAAAAACAAGACACTTAGGGCCTGAACATAAAAGATCCCAAATAAAGAGCATTAACTTGCTTTTGCAAAGGAAATTGCATATGCATATGTTGCAAGTGATCTACAAAGATTGTGTGCACAATTGATTATAGGTGCAAAAGTGGTCTAGACCATCCTATTTAAATGAAGATTCTGCATATGGTAATGGAGAGTAGCATTATAGAGAGTGTAGGAGAGCAGAGTGGTCATAAAAGTAATATGAAGTTAAAAACCATGGAGTTATAAGCACAACAATACAGGCTTATTATTAATAATAATGCACTTCATTGAAATAAGTAACAACACAACAGGGAAAACGTTTAAAAATGAATCAGAATTAAAGCTGTAGACATCTGTATTGATTTACCTAAGCCAACTCAATTCATTCTATTCAACAGTTTGCACATAGTGGAATTGATGCAGGATGAGGTAATCCTGCAGCTCCAAACTGGCATTTCTGGTTGGCATTTATCTATATTTCACACCAAACATATAAATGTAAGTATTTTATTGAAAGGAGTTGAATGGATAGGACACGTGATCTAGGAACATATAAGAGTGAAGGCTTAGGCGAAGACTCAATGTCAGTGCTCAATGTGGGAGGACAATCTTCAAGAAATATTATTTCCCAAGTCTGTCTCTTGGTAAATAGAGAGAGACCATCTCTGTGGTCAGTTGCACCTCCCTTTCAAACATGCTAAATATAGACGCAAGAATGATGACTGTGTATTTTTGTGTTTAATGATGTAAAGCGCTTTGAAATGCCTTGCTGCTGAAATGTGCTATACAAATAAAATTTGATTTAATGATTGAAGAACAGGTCCCCAATCTGCTTTTGTTTCAATAAATAACATTGTGGGTGATAAATCATTACATTTTCAAAACCTCTGCCCAGTATTTTCCACTTTCTGATGCAGTGGATCTATGCTATTGTTCTGCATAGATATGAAGGCATGCATACTAAATAGTCATTTTGCAGACACAATCTTCGTAGAACCTGTAGATCAGGTGTATGTGCCAGCAAGTTTGGATCTATTAAAAGATCAGACCCCAAGTTAGTTTTAAAACAGAAAATATAAAGGTCATTTTGGAAATATTTAGCCAATTTGTCTCTTACTAAATAACATCAGCAATAGATACTTCCAGGTCTAGGAAGTACTGTGCTGTGCATTTCAGACTTGTGTAGTACTAGTGAATTCTGCAGCAGTGTACAGAGGCATGCTTTCTTTTTTTAGTGCAAAATGGAATGAAAAAACATCTTGTATACCTAATCTTGGTAGATGCTCCATAAAATGTTCTTGAATTTATAAAGATGATCTGACTAGAACACCAGTCTGAGGAACAACGGAACTGAGTAATTGGTGCTTACATTCTCCAATAGAACCACAAAAGTGGAATGAGAGTGCAAAAATGGTAAAGAGCAAGAAGAAAGGCTTTCAAATGCCCTTTTTGCTCAAACCCTATTAGAACTAATCATACCCCTTAAACTTTTCCTTCCTAAATAAAAAAAGGATGCATGGGATTGTATCGAGCTACCATGTGTTAGTGCTTTGTAGAATAACCTTTTGTAGCAACTATAGTTAAATTTCTTTCATGATAGGGTCCTTACAGCTTTGCTCTTGAAGTTTTTCCCCATTTGATATTTTGCTGCACTTTGACAAAGCAATTCTAACTAGGAGTCTTGAAAGTCCTCCAACTCAGGGTCAAGTCTTCTGTAACCTCAAACAGGTTTAGCTTCATTCATCATCTCAACTCTACTCCAGCAACACTGAACCTGCTGAAGAAAGCAACACTTTTGCACCCAAAGCTTCAACTCCCCTGTCCCCAGTTTGTGACAGTCACATTTGGCCAGTTGGCCCAAGCAACACATTTCACGTGCTGAAATGTGTCGCATTTTAGCATGTGAATTAGCTGATTTAATTACTTAGAGACATTTCAAAGAAAGTATAATGAAGAAATAAATGCTTATTAAACTTACTGGATTGGCACAATAACTAGATGCATCTGCAGAAGGAGAGGGTCATCTGGGGCAGCACCTTAAAGAGCTGTTGCAGGAAAAAAATAGGAAAAATAAACTCCATTTTACTTGAATGTAATCATGGATTTCACCTGGGGATCCCCATTCCGTTTTATCATAACCTCTTGGTGCTGCACCAAACCCTGCTTTTAGATTCGTCACTGCATAAATACATCCTCACATGAACAAAAAGTACTTATTTTATACATTTTCAACAACTAAGTGACAATGAGAAAGAAAAACAAATCTAAAATGTTGAAGAACCATCTTTAGCTGTAATAGAAGCTATTATAGTTTAACTGACCCTCATATCAATCTGGAGAGATTCTGTTTCACAGCATTACTTTTGCCCCTTATGGTGGACCAAGCATAAACTTTGGATGGGACCATGGTGAATTCAATGACTGCTGGATCCTCAGGCTCTTTCCCATAGAGCTCCACGATGACGTGTTATGGGATGTTTACTTTATTTCCATCTTTGCTTCTTTCAGTTGCAGAACTGCAAACCTGAATGAAGATTATCTTAACCTTAAGAAAGAAGACCATCCCGTATTTCTTCTCTTTTACCAATTAACATGCCCATATTATCTGCAAAATCAATAATTTTTTATTAATATTTTCCTGGAGTCCTGGACAGATGTCTTAAAGGGGACATATGGAGCAAAATCCACTTTTTTAGCCCCCCAAGTAAATTTTTTTTAATACTTTGGGTGCAAAAAAATTTCAATTTATCCTCTCCCAGTGCTGCATAGATATCTTTATATTCCCAAAAAATAGGTCTTCATATTTTTCTTTATTGCCTATGACATTTTCTTGTAAATTATGTCTCTGCATGTGCTGTGGAACTGCAAATGTGGTGACAAGGTCATAACTTCTGACTAATCAGTTTGCTGAAGTTTGCAAGTAGACAAGTGAAAATGTTCAGTTCTAGCGTGTAGTCAAATATGATTGCCCTCTGGCATCAGAGCCTCTTCAACATGTCTAATTAAAATGTATTTTTCTCTGAAAAAGGAAACTGCATCAGAGGATTAGTGGGGAAAGTTTGTCCCTCAGTGCGCAGAGCACTGAGGGACAAGTGCTTCCGCAACCACCACCAAAGATGGATTTTCTGAAAGTCTGTCTGAGGGTCAGTTCCTTCTCTCTATGGAAAAAAGGAACACAGCATAGCGGTAAGCTTTAAATAATNGAACAGTGCCCAGTCAGTCTGACTGTTAGTTAAAGTATGTTTGTGGAGTTGCTATACAGAACAGAAAAACAGCTATCATCTACTAAACCTATTCTTGGGATCTTGCTAACACACCAGTGTATTTTTTTTTTCATAAAATTGATTGACTTTTACATCATCAACTTGTCCGTACTGGGGTCTGTGCCCTTGTTTGAGCATGCATGACCTGCCCTGATTCGTCCAGTAAGATGATGAATCCAGCTGATCAGCATTTTCATTAATTAAAATAAATATGCAAAGTTTTATAACCAAACAAAATACATTGAAAGATAAACAAATGTGCATACAGAGATGATTTTATTGTAAGACAGAGACACTAACCAACATTTTTATATAAAGAATGATGCACTATACAGAAAGTGGAAAGAGTCAGCATAAGTTACAAACTTTGGTACATTCTGGTTAATCAGACAGATTGTATATTCAGTAAGAGAGATTCATCTTAATGTGATCATTGATGAAAACTGACATTTATAGTTAAATAAATGCCCCCCACTGGTTTTCAACGACTGATTTATATTCTTTCAAAGAGTAAACAAAGAGAACAATAAAAGAATGACTGATTTAAAAATTCTAATATTTATTAACTGCTTGGCAGAAATCTTATTTCTCAACCAATTAGAACAGAGGCACCACCTACTGTCTGTAGTTTCATGGAGGTCCATCTGCATCAAGGATAAAAACAAGACACTTAGGGCCTGAACATAAAAGATCCCAAATAAAGAGCATTAACTTGCTTTTGCAAAGGAAATTGCATATGCATATGTTGCAAGTGATCTACAAAGATTGTGTGCACAATTGATTATAGGTGCAAAAGTGGTCTAGACCATCCTATTTAAATGAAGATTCTGCATATGGTAATGGAGAGTAGCATTATAGAGAGTGTAGGAGAGCAGAGTGGTCATAAAAGTAATATGAAGTTAAAAACCATGGAGTTATAAGCACAACAATACAGGCTTATTATTAATAATAATGCACTTCATTGAAATAAGTAACAACACAACAGGGAAAACGTTTAAAAATGAATCAGAATTAAAGCTGTAGACATCTGTATTGATTTACCTAAGCCAACTCAATTCATTCTATTCAACAGTTTGCACATAGTGGAATTGATGCAGGATGAGGTAATCCTGCAGCTCCAAACTGGCATTTCTGGTTGGCATTTATCTATATTTCACACCAAACATATAAATGTAAGTATTTTATTGAAAGGAGTTGAATGGATAGGACACGTGATCTAGGAACATATAAGAGTGAAGGCTTAGGCGAAGACTCAATGTCAGTGCTCAATGTGGGAGGACAATCTTCAAGAAATATTATTTCCCAAGTCTGTCTCTTGGTAAATAGAGAGAGACCATCTCTGTGGTCAGTTGCACCTCCCTTTCAAACATGCTAAATATAGACGCAAGAATGATGACTGTGTATTTTTGTGTTTAATGATGTAAAGCGCTTTGAAATGCCTTGCTGCTGAAATGTGCTATACAAATAAAATTTGATTTAATGATTGAAGAACAGGTCCCCAATCTGCTTTTGTTTCAATAAATAACATTGTGGGTGATAAATCATTACATTTTCAAAACCTCTGCCCAGTATTTTCCACTTTCTGATGCAGTGGATCTATGCTATTGTTCTGCATAGATATGAAGGCATGCATACTAAATAGTCATTTTGCAGACACAATCTTCGTAGAACCTGTAGATCAGGTGTATGTGCCAGCAAGTTTGGATCTATTAAAAGATCAGACCCCAAGTTAGTTTTAAAACAGAAAATATAAAGGTCATTTTGGAAATATTTAGCCAATTTGTCTCTTACTAAATAACATCAGCAATAGATACTTCCAGGTCTAGGAAGTACTGTGCTGTGCATTTCAGACTTGTGTAGTACTAGTGAATTCTGCAGCAGTGTACAGAGGCATGCTTTCTTTTTTTAGTGCAAAATGGAATGAAAAAACATCTTGTATACCTAATCTTGGTAGATGCTCCATAAAATGTTCTTGAATTTATAAAGATGATCTGACTAGAACACCAGTCTGAGGAACAACGGAACTGAGTAATTGGTGCTTACATTCTCCAATAGAACCACAAAAGTGGAATGAGAGTGCAAAAATGGTAAAGAGCAAGAAGAAAGGCTTTCAAATGCCCTTTTTGCTCAAACCCTATTAGAACTAATCATACCCCTTAAACTTTTCCTTCCTAAATAAAAAAAGGATGCATGGGATTGTATCGAGCTACCATGTGTTAGTGCTTTGTAGAATAACCTTTTGTAGCAACTATAGTTAAATTTCTTTCATGATAGGGTCCTTACAGCTTTGCTCTTGAAGTTTTTCCCCATTTGATATTTTGCTGCACTTTGACAAAGCAATTCTAACTAGGAGTCTTGAAAGTCCTCCAACTCAGGGTCAAGTCTTCTGTAACCTCAAACAGGTTTAGCTTCATTCATCATCTCAACTCTACTCCAGCAACACTGAACCTGCTGAAGAAAGCAACACTTTTGCACCCAAAGCTTCAACTCCCCTGTCCCCAGTTTGTGACAGTCACATTTGGCCAGTTGGCCCAAGCAACACATTTCACGTGCTGAAATGTGTCGCATTTTAGCATGTGAATTAGCTGATTTAATTACTTAGAGACATTTCAAAGAAAGTATAATGAAGAAATAAATGCTTATTAAACTTACTGGATTGGCACAATAACTAGATGCATCTGCAGAAGGAGAGGGTCATCTGGGGCAGCACCTTAAAGAGCTGTTGCAGGAAAAAAATAGGAAAAATAAACTCCATTTTACTTGAATGTAATCATGGATTTCACCTGGGGATCCCCATTCCGTTTTATCATAACCTCTTGGTGCTGCACCAAACCCTGCTTTTAGATTCGTCACTGCATAAATACATCCTCACATGAACAAAAAGTACTTATTTTATACATTTTCAACAACTAAGTGACAATGAGAAAGAAAAACAAATCTAAAATGTTGAAGAACCATCTTTAGCTGTAATAGAAGCTATTATAGTTTAACTGACCCTCATATCAATCTGGAGAGATTCTGTTTCACAGCATTACTTTTGCCCCTTATGGTGGACCAAGCATAAACTTTGGATGGGACCATGGTGAATTCAATGACTGCTGGATCCTCAGGCTCTTTCCCATAGAGCTCCACGATGACGTGTTATGGGATGTTTACTTTATTTCCATCTTTGCTTCTTTCAGTTGCAGAACTGCAAACCTGAATGAAGATTATCTTAACCTTAAGAAAGAAGACCATCCCGTATTTCTTCTCTTTTACCAATTAACATGCCCATATTATCTGCAAAATCAATAATTTTTTATTAATATTTTCCTGGAGTCCTGGACAGATGTCTTAAAGGGGACATATGGAGCAAAATCCACTTTTTTAGCCCCCCAAGTAAATTTTTTTTAATACTTTGGGTGCAAAAAAATTTCAATTTATCCTCTCCCAGTGCTGCATAGATATCTTTATATTCCCAAAAAATAGGTCTTCATATTTTTCTTTATTGCCTATGACATTTTCTTGTAAATTATGTCTCTGCATGTGCTGTGGAACTGCAAATGTGGTGACAAGGTCATAACTTCTGACTAATCAGTTTGCTGAAGTTTGCAAGTAGACAAGTGAAAATGTTCAGTTCTAGCGTGTAGTCAAATATGATTGCCCTCTGGCATCAGAGCCTCTTCAACATGTCTAATTAAAATGTATTTTTCTCTGAAAAAGGAAACTGCATCAGAGGATTAGTGGGGAAAGTTTGTCCCTCAGTGCGCAGAGCACTGAGGGACAAGTGCTTCCGCAACCACCACCAAAGATGGATTTTCTGAAAGTCTGTCTGAGGGTCAGTTCCTTCTCTCTATGGAAAAAAGGAACACAGCATAGCGGTAAGCTTTAAATAATGCTAAAATGACAACAAAGCTTATTTTGGACATTAATTTTTTGTGTTGATAATGGTGTCTTGGCCATTGGTTTGATTAGTCATTGTGCCTTCTGCTTCTGTTAGCACTGTGTGCTAGCATTTAGCTGTCTTCTTCAGGAGATGCATATATATATATATATATATATATATATATATATATATATATATATATATACACACACACACACACACACACACATATACAGGATTTCCCCCAGAAAACTTGATAAGCCCAGTGGTCGGAGTGCCGAGGCGGTCCACCATGTTTTTTGTATTAAAAGATGTTAAGGTGACAGGAATTGTAAAAATATCACTCGGTAATTATAAGTTATGGGAAAACATCACCAGTGAAACACTACTTAAACCCACAACTAGTCTTAAAAACAAATCAAAATATACAATTAAAATGAATATCAATTATTTGCACTTTTGTTTAATCCAAATTAAGTCAGCAGCAGCACCATAAAAAAAAAAACTTTCAAAATTATTTTCCTAAAAACAAACAAGAAAGGCTTAGCCTGGGAGTGGCGCTAGTAAAGGATGGTGGGCCGCCAGGCCTGTAATACACTGGGGGAAACCCTGATATATACATTTCAAAAAATGTGGCTTTGTTTTTGCCATATTTGTCTTGGAGAACACATCCTGTTAGCTAACTCATTAATTATGTCGAGCATTTGCTGACTTTATCAATATTGTTGGTTGCATTAGAATTTTAATGACATGCATGGACATTATGGTTAAATTACGCTCCATATTGTAGGTAGTTGGTATGGATGGAGAAAGTGTAAATAGAAAATTACACCATTGCAATGTATTCATCTGAAGGAAAGGCTCTGGTGGTTTGTTTTCCCCATTATCCTGCTCCGGGTCAGACTCTGGCTCCAGCATGGAAGGCTGGATGGGCAAATCTTCTGTTGTTGACACCTTTAATAAACTTGGGAATAAAAAGTGTATCTATTGGTAAATAACTGTATTGCTGGAATCAAAACTACAAACAGGGCAGAATGGCGTGGAGTGGAACACACAATGAAGGAAGAAGGAGCAGGGCATGAAATGTCTAATACACATTAACCCCCGCCCCCCGAGAAAACAAACCGCAAAACAAGTTGCTTTAAAAGGTGCTTCAGAACAGGGTATGTGGAGCTAAAATGAGTAATTCAGACCAAAGCATTGCAGGTCTACTTTATAAGAGAAGTATTTGGATATGAAAAAGAAGGGTTTCAAATGACATAGCCACTTTAAAGATTTTAGTTTGTGGATGATTTTCTCCACAAATTGAATGATGAACTTCAAGTGTACTTTTGCTCATAAAGTTGGAATTAAATATGTTTGCTTCTTCTCACAACATGGCTGTGACAGGATGAAATTAAACATTTCCTAAAACAATAAAATTTTCTTATTACTTTTGATCTCAGTGAAAATCAAACTTTTCAAAAATAAAATTATTCCACATTTATATTTTGAAAATATCTTATGATCCTGAGATTTAGAGACTGCAGCTGTTGTCTGTAGCTCTAAGCGAATTACATGGTTGAAAATATAGACAACCATGTACCAGACGGTGTTTAACTGATACATTGATGTATCAGTTAATCAATGCTTTTGATGTCCGTCTCTAACTGTAGCTTGTTTTCCTGTTAAATAATTCACAATGCACTCATTTCTTCCAAAGGCAATCCCAGCATTTGCTTTGTTGAAGATCAAATTTTTTACAGTTGATTAATAGTGTGTATAACACACTGAAGGATGTATTAAGACAGTTTTAAATCTAATGGAAAGGAGGTTATACATCATGACATAAGAAACTTCAAATTCCATCTAATGTTCACTTCAACCAATTAACACAATTATATGGTAATTAATTATTTTGAAGGCTAAGGCTGGTTACATTCAGATCCTTCCGAGAAAGAAAATCCTCTATTGTCATGGAAAATACTGAAATTTAATACAAAATCTCCTAACTAGAATCCAAAATTAACTGTTAGCTTTTAGGTTCAATTAGAAATTCCCACAAATGTTTGAGATACAGCATAAAGAACTCTAAATGCTTTTGAAATCTACACATGCAGTTTCTAAATTGGGCAGCTCCAAATAGTTGCTGTACTTGGAATTGCTTTTGCTGGGCAGTCTTGTATTTTGATAAGTCATTCAAACCATAAAAAGAAAAAAAAAACTTAGCTTTTGAAACAAAAAACTTACTTCCCTTCTGTAATGTGTAAAAAGAGGTGTCTGAATGGTCAGGGCTTGGCAGCACTGATGTCAGTCCTGAAGGCAGTGCAGGGCTTCATTTCTCTAGTGTTACAAGTGAAAGCGTGCAAAATATAGGAGTGCAACATAAAGCATTTACTTTTTCAGTGGAGTCATTTCAAAAGCTCAGTCTTGATTTAAAATATCTGAGGCAAAGTCATTTTCAGACTGAGTAGTAAAGTATATTCTAATCGGTCTTTCTCGTTTTTGACTGAGGTCTTGGACTTGATGTTGCCTACCAACCAATCACTGAACGTTACCAGACGGTGCTTTTTAACTAAATGCTTTAAAACTGGGTCATTAGGTTTTCACCAATCAAGGCTTTTAAATCACCCTTTGAGTAAAAAACAGTTTTGGGGATGCTGAAGACTGACGAAAGGGCAATGTCTTCTCTTCTAGCATGGCCTCTTCTCTTTACCAAAAGCAGGTTAAAAAGTGCTATAGAAAACTGGGCCAGACAAAGACAGCATCTCATTCTAGCCCAAAGGTGCTGGTCTCTTCCACAGCAGTCAGCAGCTTATCATACAACATAGAGAAGGACTGGTATGGTGGCAGGTCCAATCGATTGAAACATGTGTGAGCTCTGCAGAAAAAAAAACAGACGGCACAGTTAGAGATTGAAACTAGACAAATTACGTTTGGCAGGAGGTGACTAAATGCCTGCTCATACAAAGTGCTGCCTATTAACCAAAAGCTCCACCTTGACACTTCATTCCCCAGCTGAGCTCCCACCATACAGACCACCCCTCCCTCACACAGCTCCACCAGAGTAGCAGCAGCAGTAATGAGCAAACATATAGTGGAACTGCAAGTCTGCAGAGCTTTTTATACAAACAGCAACACCTGAGTGAAGTTGCCCCCCCCCACCTTCTTCAAATCAGACAAAATTGGTGTCAAACGTTTGTGCTACGTTTGTGCAGCAAAGATTTTCGTTTGTACTGCTATCTTTTTAAAGATTAATAGTAGTTTATAGAGGTCAACCAGCACAAATGTAGCACAAACATTTGACACCAATTTTGTTTGATTTCAAAAAAGTGGGGGGGCTGGTTGACCTTTTAACCTTTACACTTTCATTAATATCTTCAAAGCCAAAGCAACACAAACAAAAATTTTTGCTGCACAAACCAGCACAAAAATAGCCGAGTTGATTGACACCCATTTTGTCTGATTTGAAGAAGGTGGGGGGCTGGTTGACCTTTGATGACCTCTAGAAACATTTCTTCATATCTTTAAAATTATAGCGGCACAAACGAAAATTTTTGCTGCACAAACCAGCACAAACGTTTGACACCAATTTTGTCTGATTTGAATAAGGTGGGGGGGGGCGACTTCACTCAGGTAACAGCAACACTCCTAAGGACAGTTGTAAATGGCAGTTATGTGATGATGTGCTGAAAGAAGACTGTGGGAAAGGAGGGAAATTCTTAGACAGAAGCTAATTGCAAGGCATCAGACATTGCAAAGTCAAATTTTTTTAATGAACTTTTTTTAAAATTGTTTTTGAGACAAAGCATTTTAATAACTGAAGGTAACAGTCACTTGATTGTACTATAAAATCACACTACGTGTCTGGAAAATGCACGTAATTTAGGAATGATGGTGGCGATGGTGGTAGGATTTAGTCCTACAATCGGTGGCTTGTCTATTCAATTCCCAATACATCTGCCTCTGTTGTGTCCTTGGGGCAAAACGTATTCATATCAAGCCAGCTTTTAATTGTAATGAATTATGAGGTAATAGTATCCAAAAGTTGTTGTAGATTCTCTCTCCTGTAGATTTCTTAAAAATACCCTGAAGTACTTTTCTACTGTTAAGACAATAAATTTAAAGTGTGCTAGTTTTGAAACTTAGCATGTCTTGATTGAAATAGCCTAATTATAGTTTTTAAATCAGTAACTTATTCTGGCCTATTGACCTTTATGTTACCTGTAGTTACAGCAGATGGTTTGCTAAGATCTGTTGATCTGCCCTTTGTCTGTGTGGGAAAACAATCAGGAGAAGTTCCAGCTTTCACACTGATCTGTGAAAAGCCATAAAACAGCAGGAGTTCAGGCCAGTAGAGGAGAAGCTCTGCTTCCACTTTGTTTAGATAAAGGAGACAACTGATGTTTGATCTTGAAAACAAATTGTAGGGAGTTTCTAACTTTTAAGAGGGTCCGAGATAGCTCCTGGTTGGATGAGCAAAGATACGCCTCATTGAATATATTAAAGACAAGAATACGTCTTTACTATAAAAGTTTGTACACAGAAGTAACAAATCAGATTTGCTCTTGCAATTCTCCAAAGACGTCTTTGCTTTTCTTTCTTCCTTCTTTTCCATTTGTCTCAGGTAAATGAATGTATGTCTCTGTTGTTCTGCAGTTTCTGTTGTAATTTCATGCGTTGTCTTCTATTGGATTAAACTCTAATTCTGTGACGTCTACACTCGTTTTCTGTGTGGCTACACGCAGTCTGCCGGGAGAATCTGGGATCGAAGAAGATCGAGGCAAAGAGTTTTCTTAAGAAATATTGTAACCTAAAATCTTCTTCAACACTACCAATAGCATATCAATGTCATTATAGTGAGAGGATGTTTTATTTTTCCAGCATTAACAATATTTAGAACTTAATTTTCATTTACTGGTTTTACAAACGGCTTTGATCAATAGGTTCTCATGTTTTCTATAAGGAATTCATAGTTTATCTACTGGGATCACCTTTTCTCCAAGTAAAGGTGTGGAGTCTAAATTATGTTAAGTAGTCTTAACCATTAATGTTGTGTGTTAAGACATAAGTACTTTTGTTTGTCATTATGTTTCTAGAACATAAAATAGGAGTGGTATATCAGTGATAAATAAATAAAGTCTTATTCGGTTGTTAGGGTGCAGTAAATGGCTGTGAGTTGGTCTGAAGGGGGTAAAAGGTGGATAGATAGTATTCAAGATCCAAGTCTTCAAAGAACTCTGAAAACTTGAAATTACAAGTTAAAACAACATTTAATTTTCCTTTGGAATCAATAAAGCATTTTTTTATTTGAATTTGATTTGACAGAGTTTGTGTTTAGATTTTTTTTTTGTAACTGAATAAAGACACACATAATTCCACATGACATCTACATGTTATGGTTGTCCAAGTCAAGTAATAATAACTGAACTACTTCCATCCCCTGCTATTTTATTTTTAATTTAAAACACTGTATCCCTTTTTTTGTTTATCAAGTATACATTTAAGATTTAGTGCATTATGTTGATAACAGCTAAAACTAATGATGGTCATCGTCAGCCAGCAGCTTTTTGACCCCCAGCAGGGAGATGGGGGGTGGGATCTTGCGCAGATGATGTCACGCTGCAAGGGTCCATACATAGAGCCAAGCTGGTGTAGATATACTCAAACTAATTACCAGAAATGTATTCAACCTGTTCTTTCAATTCAACCACCAAGTCAGTCATTTTTAATTTAGTATCATTTAATTTCTGTAAAATGGGTTTGGACAATAAATCAGTAACAACATATGTTATGACAGACATGTCAGTTATACATACTTCTGATGGAATTGTCAGTAATTTTACTGAACTCCAATATAGTATTGCACCTCATTCTGGGGATGTAGGTAGAGGAAAGACTTTAGCCACTTAACGTATCATGGGCAGCTAAACTAGGTGAGTGGCATTTCTAATTCACTCACTCTTTGATTACCAAGCAACAACCATGTTGAGTAACTTGCACAGCAGCAGTTTAAGGTTTCATCGCCGTGATTCAAAACTGCTTAAAAGCTAAAGCAAAAGCTGTGGATAAAACAAGAAATCTCACACCACCAATTTAGCAGTATTTCCAGATATTTAAAACTTAAAACTAATTAATAGTTAAGTTTTACACTATCAATATCGACCAATATACAGTGCTAATATTTTGATACATTTTTAACCCATATTGTCCAGACCTACTGTGAACCTTGTAGATGTCCCTATAAGACCAAGAGGAGCAATATAATTATGGTTGGGTTTTGGTTTTTAATTATTCTTAAAGAACCATTGGACCTCCTTAAGGAATTGCAACTCTAATTGTCAAGGTGTCTTTTGTTTTTCAAACACCTGCTAAAATTGGTGGACAGGAAAGGAGATGATTCAATTATCTGAATCATGTGTCTTAGATTTGAGGACTAAAGTTTCTCAGCCCTAATTAAACTGGATTAAAATGTCATCAAGATCAGGCACCTGGGCAGTGAGGTGATCTTTCCCCACTTTTCCACACAGAACCTGCGTGGTCCATTACTGCCACGCAGTGAAGCGAAGCCCTCGTATGGAATGCTTGATGTTCCTGTCACAAACTCAATATATGGAGACAAAGAGGGACCAGAATTAGTGTGGAAAACAAATACATTTTAGTTAAAGTTTCTTTATTATTTTGTCTGAAGAGTGAATCTCATTATAGATTCATTACACATTACTCAATGATTTTGGATTACAGTTCAGATGATCAGAAAATCTGAATCTTAAAATGGAAAGAACTGTTGGTGCATATTTCTTATACTATATGCCCAAAATACATATAGTATTTTGGGCATATAGTATATGCCCAGTGAACATTAAAAATACATGTTCTTTACTTTAAGAATGAAATTATCTATATAAATATTGTACTATACTGATATTTAGCTTGGCATCTGCTACATTCCCATGTACAAACTAGCCTACCTGCAAGAGTCGTAATCTCTGCTCATTGTTGAACCTCTCCACTGCAGCCCAGAACCACCGGATAACAATATGGTTGTCATGGTAACCTGAAAACAACACACCCCATTGTGTCATTATGGTCTGGGTCTGTATACATATGTCATATCAAAGTTCCATGCCTTTCAGTACCCAAGACTTCCCAGTTGTGCTCACTAAGTTAAAATGCAAAACTACAAATATGGTTCAGTGTACGCAGACACACTGGAACATATGGTTCCATATGTATGGCATTATATATGCAACCAGAAAAAAAGCAGAAACTGACAGATGGAGCTGAAAGAAAGGAAGGAGATGAGATAAAGAGGAAACACACAAGGAAGGAGTGAAAAAAGACAAAGAAGAGCTGAAGTTAGATTATGGATGGAACTAAATTTTCTTCATCTCAATCATAGCAAAACTCAAATCATATTATTTGGTCAAAACCTTCACACTAAAAATCCAGACACGATACTTGGTTCTTCGGCTCCGTTCTGTCGGATTTCAGCCAGGAATCTTAGTAATTGTAATTTTTATGTAAAGGTAATGGTTGAAACCCTGATACAGCATCTTCAAGTGATCCAGAATGCAGCAGCTTGGCTTCTTAGTCACCTGGAAGTGTGACCGAATAAGGCCCTTATTGGCCTCCTTACACTGGCTGCCAGTTTCATATTGAATAGATTTTAAGATTCTTTTAAAAACTTATAAAGTTTTAAACAGGTTAGCCATTCCTTATTTTCAGATCTTTTGAAACTTCATTCTGTGTCCATAACTTTAAGATCAAATAATCAGCTGTTACTGAAAGTCCCTCAGACTACCCTTAAGAAAAAAGGAGATCGGGTCTTCTCCATTGCTGTTCCTGTTCTATGCAATAATCTTCCTTTCCAGATCTGCCCGCAGCCTGGATCATTTTAAATCAATTCTTAAAACTCATTTTTATTTTTTGGCATTTAATTGAGGCCTGATACTTTAGTTATTCAGTTGTGATGTTTTTTGTTTTTGTTTACTTATTATTATCATTACTCTTATTATTTTAACATTATACATTTTTGTTGTATTATTTTCTTTTTCTTTTTATCAACTTATCACTTTTCGTACAGGGTTTGGCGCCGTTTTAAACCTGTTTTTAAAGTGCTATATAAATAAATTTGACATCGACACAATTAAGGAATGAAAAGAGGAAAATAGAAAATCATTTTACTTATGAGTAAGTCAGAAAAAAATTAAGGGAGAAATGAAGAAGTGACAGAAGTACAAGACAGAAGAAGAAATAGTGATGACGGGCAGGTAAGAAAATATACAAGAAAGGAAGGACACAAGGAATAAAGGTGAGAATGAAGAATAGGAAATAAAATCTGTAAATTTCCATACTGTAATTTTTCATTATTTGATCCAGAACTGGAAAAAAATAAATCTAAATCCATAATCTTTCAGAGATTACTTTATTGATCCCTGTGTACCTCCTCTGTATTCAGTATTGCTCCTCCAGTCTGATAAGTCAATCTCAGCAGTGCCAGCAATGACCAGCTCCAGCTCCCTGGCATCAAACACAGACACCAATCTCGCATCCACCACCTGAAGAGAAACATATATTGTAAAGGTAATAAATGTCCTGTAAAATTGAAATGTCTGGAACAAACTGTTTTGTTTTTACAAGGTCGACACACCCCACCTCATAAAAACCTCTGACCAGGCTTTCAGTCTGCTGGACGACTCCTCGCTCTATCCTCCACTTCACCATCCGCTCGATGTACTCTTTCTTGTTCTTCTCTGAGACTGGGATGTTCCCTCCACCAGGTTTCAGCTCCCGTTCTGTGATCTACAAAAACCATGTCTAGCTCAATGCTAAATCTGTGTTTGAGTCTGAAAGACAGACGGACAGATGTAATAATGCTTTAGCCACTTTCAAAAACAGAATCCACAAGCTAGTGGAGCTGGGTTTGGGAACAAAGGGTGCACTGATAAATCAGCCCCCCATTTCCTTAATTTTGGGAGATCAGCAATCGACCAATGCTTTCAACCAGAATTCTCAGGTCAGGCTTTTTAAAGATGAAGAGCCAGCGTTCAGTCAGAAAACTGCACCCCAATTGGAAACATCAGTAGTATAGTTAAGATGGGAGAAGACAAGAATATTCACTGAATTTTCTCATTTAATTTTCACTCTGAAAGGTTAAATGTGACTTACCCCCAGCAGTGCGTCTCGTTTGTTTTTTCCCATTTTTTTTTGACTAATGCGACATACTATGGAACAATATATTTGTTTTATTAGCTCAAACACTAAATATATCTTAATATGCATTAATGCACACAGTGGAAACAGCAAGACTCCAGAAGCTACAGTTTTATCTCTTGTCTTGAGGGTAAAACCATTTATAGCCAAGGAAAATGAATGACAGTCTTGGATTGGCAGCTTTGCAAACACCACCCTGTTTTACAAGTAGCATTGCGCCTAGGTACTTCGGCTTTCCAAGCTGCATTTTCTTTTGAACATCGAGTAAATAATCTACAAACAGGTGATTTGTAGTCTCTAAATAATTTGGAGTCACATTGCACAGAAAAAAAATATTTATGACAGGGTGCTGTGGTGGCACAGGCGTAAAGCACAATCCTTACATGGACGTCACAGTTTCGAGTCCTGATGACCTTTGCCGTATGTCTTCCCCTTCTCTTATTACCTACTTTTCTGTCTAACTGCTGTCAAATAAAGTGTATCTGAGCCAAAAAAAAAGTTATATTTGTGACCAAAAACTTTAATTGTTTTCTAGTCTATCACTTGTTAACAAGATAGCAGTAAGCATCTAAATATGTAGGCAGTCTCAGAGTCTGACCTGTCCAAACACTTCCTCATTGACAGTAAAGGTGAGGTCAAGCATGTCTTCTATATCATTGTCCTTCATCCACTGGAGAGACTGGTGGAACTCCTCATCCAGATATTCCAGGTCACTCAGATCGCAGGGACTGGAGAATAGAAAAGGCAAACAATGAATGACTGCACTCATGTGAGTTTTTGGGTCTTTCAGTGAGCGTAGCATTACAATAAAAAAAAAAAAATTGTAAACAATTAAAATGCATGTTGGTGAATGCTTTCCTTATATTCATGGTTAACTCTGGATAAACATACATGCGCAGAAGGCCTTTATAGAAGGGTCTGGTGAAGAAGGCATCCAGCAGATACTGATGGATCAGAGCCAGACCCAGAATGCGGCCACTGAAACGGAACCTGAGGCACACAAACAAATGGATAGTCGGCCTTATGACTGTAGTGAACACAAACCTGTGAGATATTCTTGATAATCTTGGTCTAATTCAGAGATTCCCAAACTGTGGGGGGTTCCGTGTCATTTCAGGGGGGTAGGGGGTGCAGGAAGTGGTATGGATGAATGAAAAAAAACACAAAAAAAAAAACAATGAACGCTGTGTGCACTCAGGGGGGTGGAGTGGGATGAGTGTTTGAGTGGATGGAAGAGTATAATAGGGGGTCTCTAGGAACCCCCCCCCCCCCCACCCAGAGACACGCGTTGTATAACAGGAAGTCCGCACCCAGCATCGCCCCACCCACCTCCCCCTGCTCACATACATTGTTCAACAAGACAGCAAGAGTCTAACTCTCCCTATTTGTAATCCATAGGGGGGGCCCAGAAAATGTTTGGAAACCAAGCAACACACAATCGAGGTCACATACTGGATCTAATTATCAGTGTGAATATTTCCATTGTCTCTATAACTGATGTTACAGAGAGAAACACTGTGATCAAAATGTAATCAAATCTATTCTTTATCCTCATCTGTAAGTTGCAGTGATGTAGATGAGTTGCTAGATAATTTCCTCTCTAAAATTCAGAACAGTGAATCCAAAACAGTGATGAGAAACGTTAAGCCTTTTTAATTTGAATTGGAGCCCATTGAAAACGATCAGAACATAGAAATCAGAAGAGGTGATGAGCAAACAGAGGAAGAAGACAGAGTTGGCCGTAAGAGCTGGTGTTTTGCTGTTGCCTTCAGCTTCGTAATAAAACAATGGGCAACACTTTATTTGAAGGGGTGCGCATAAGACTGACACGACCCTGTCATGAACGTAAAGAAGTCTTTATGAATGTTTGACAGTTGTCATGAAGTGTCATTTGGTAAATAATGATACTTTTAATGCAAAGTTGCTCTAAATGTTGCATTAAAAGTCCATTAAAAGTGCCAATTTTGCATCATTTTGTAAATTATGATAATTTAATGCAAAGTTGGCATTAAATTACCCGGTGCAAATAATTATGGTCCAAGTGATAAATTGTGCAGTTTTATTACAAGTTGGCCCAGTCTGTTGGAAGAAAAGGTTCTTTGACTAGACTGGGCCAATCAAGTTCTAGAATGGCACCACCATCTTGAGTAGTCCATGTCTGGAAGTCAGGTGAAGAAGTAGCTGGAGAGTCTGAATCAGAACAAGGCTGCAGATCATCTTGTGAAAGCAAGCATGCTTGCCCTGCAATCTGCTCATTTCTCTGGAGTTGAAGATGCCATCATATATCTGCTTCAACAAATCCACTGTCATGTAAGCAGGGAGAACTGTGAGGATTATGTTCTTTAAATTCTCTAATGCATTTAACATAATTCAATCTGATTGGCCCCGTCAGTAACTCCACAAAATACAGATGGAGACCTCAACAGTCACCTGGATTAATGTCTACCTGACAAACAGAACACACGTTATGACTGAAGGGTAGTGTTTCTGACCAGGCAGCGAGAGGCACAGGAGCACCACAGGGGTCTATACTCTCACCATTTCTTTTCACTCTGTAGACCTCAGACTTTTCCAATCTTCTATCTAAGATTAAAATGGAGCATCAGAACTAGCATTTGGACCATTAAACTATTCCTCCAGGCTGTAGGAATTCCCATAACTTCTGATAACTCTCAGACATGCATCAGTTACATTATGGGACATTCATTTCAATACAATTTGTGTTTTTGTGTTTGTGTCAATTCTTACCATTCATGGTGATTGTCTACAAAGGCCGACATGGGGCTGATCTGAACGGTGTAGGTGTCATTGGCTGAATATTCAAACAGACCATAATATGGGTTGAACAGTTCCCTGGAAACCAGGAAGAAGAACTCCCTAGAAGGCCCACTGTAGTCCAAGCTGTAACACACACACACCCACACACACAGATTAATGCTTAAACCTCTACTCTTGTACTTTCTTTTCGAGATTGGTTTCCATCTCAGTTACTCACCCCTCCTCCCCAACAAAACTGACATAGAACTTGCTGCGCTGCAGGTCCTTCCGGGAATAGCACATGATCTGGTTGAAAGCATCTTCCAAGAGATGGTCCCGACGGATAGTCACTCTTCATATGCACAAAAATGAACATGAAACCCAAACTATATACCAAAATGAAGTGAGGAAGTCTAACAAGATACACACAGATATAAATTCAGCTCACTTTAGCTTTCCAGGGCCTTGACCATAGCCTTTAGTTTCCAGTTTTCTGTAGAAGTTGCGGAGTTTTGCCTCAAAGTCTCTCTTGTAAGGAGCTGGGGCTCTGGCATTGGCTCGCTGAGTTCCTAGAGTGAGACAGGAAGAGGGACTGACGGATAGTTTCAGGAACATTTTTTTTGTATTTGGTAATGTGTCAGTAAGATACCTGGTGAGTTCTGGGGGGAGGAAACAGGGGATCCCCGAGGTGACTGGCAGTAGCTGGGGAGAAGTAAGGCATGAGGAGGGACGTAGGACATCACTTCATCTTCAAACAGACTGTAATGGGAGACAGAGAGAAAGACTTAAAACACTGATGTTAACCAGGGATGGCAGAAAGGAAGTAAGTAAAGTAAAGCAAGCAAAAGTGGTGCATGGTGTACAGTATTACAAGAGGAAGTAAACTAGCAATTACTCCAGATCCATATAAACATTTTCTACAATTGCAGCCTGAGTCTCCAGTTTGATTTCACAGATTTCCTGTTGATTTTTAAAATGACGATACAAGACTAAAATTTATAGAATACTCATTCATTTAGGCCCTTGTTATCATATAAACTACTAAAGTTCTGTATAAATCAAAGTTATTATAGTTAACTAAAATGAACAAATAATGAAACCTGAAACTGAGAAAACATTTTTAACTGAAATAAAAACGGTAATTAATCAGGGAAAACTACAACTAACTTGAACTATATTGTGTGTTTATAAAACTAAGCCATATTGAAATTAGAGATCCACATGAAAGAGAACTTAAGAGTGTGAGTGACTACAGCATTCACACTAATGAAAAACCCAGAAGCATTATAAGCCTGTTGTGAATTCATGTTAGATATGTCCACATTGGGCTGGCCTTGCATATGAACTCAGGACAATTGAAATGATAGGATTATAGGAATAAATTTTGGATGCATTTTCTGCTCCCTTTAGAGGTTTTTGGGACCCTTTCAACAAGGAGGAGTCCTTCCAGAGCCAGAAACTGTACAGCCAGTAGGGGATCACCGATTTATTAGCCAGCTGATTTATCAGCACAGATTTCCTCAATTTTGGGAGATCAGTGGTCAGTCAATACTTACGGGTGAAGCCAATCTTACCCCCGGATGTCATCTACCTAAGCAGGGATCCAAATATCAAACACTGTACTCTTCTGCTCTCCCTTGAGAAAGGTTTGAGGCCCACCAGGTCATGTTTGCAGTTAAAAATAGTCACCCCACTTTTAAAAACTCATTCACTTTTTTGCTATATTTAGCAACATTTCAGACAAAAAAAAAAAACAAACTTATCGGCCAATGTTGGGATCGGTAAGCCAGGCTTTATAAGGACAAGTAGTGAGCAATTTGCCAAAAAAGTACCATCGGTGCACCCCTAATATGCTGGTGGACCTAAAAAAATCCATGGGGTAAATAAGGATAATTCCCCTTTTTCTCATGTAAATAATTTCAGCACATTTAAAACCACTGCATTATTACACTCTAGTTGATGTACACAGTTATTAGATTCTATGAATTAAATGGCGTTTAACTGAAGTCCTAGAGGTTGGAGTCCTTGTCAAACGGCGTTTTGACTAAAGTCCCAGATCGGGTTTGAGTACCAGATAAGGACAGAGGCCTGGGTTTTAATGTTTTTATCTTTTTTTAATCTTTTTTTTTTTTCAAAATCTCTCTTTCTTACCGTTTATTCAATGTCACGTGCTGTTTTTTTTAATCATGTAAAGCACTTTGAAATGCCTTGCTGCTGAAATGTGCTATACAAATAACATTTGATTGATTGATATTAGACAGGTTTTCTGCTCTGCCCTTCGAAGGAGGAGGACGCACTTTCTCTGTCTCCCTGCCTCCCTATCTTCCCTGTTCAGTGTCTGTGTCCTGTGTTTTTAGTCTTTCTTTGCATAGCTTCCGAAGTTGCAAATTATGGATCTGGTCAGCTGGTCTCTCAACCCAATTGATAAAATTTTTCCCACTGGGAAAATGGGTAAAGGGAACCGTTGTGTCCTGAGGGGACATTCTTCGCTGGATACACAATGGATTCTACATGGAAGTAGAAGACCGTGTGTCTGACGACGCCGTCAGTCGAGGATGTTGAAGATGTGTACATGATTGGATTTATGATAAGTTTTCTGCTTATTGGAGTTGGTGGCTACCTGGCTTATCGGAAATTTCAGAAGTTGCCGGCAGCCATTTTGGCAACTTTGAGGCTGCTGGGTACGGATGATGGGATCTGCAGAGCGATCAACACTCAGACTGAGATGATACGGAAGCCGAGCCGCAGACTGGATGCGATCCTGGAAAAGGACCGTGGACGGGCAGCGGATCTCGGACTCAGAATGGATATGGTGTGACCTTGGAGAATGTTGTTCGCACGGATCAGACGGGAGACCCTAAATTCGGATGTTTGGCTTTGCCATTGTGAAGCACCAGCGAGACTTTACAAATTATTGCTATCGGAATCTGGTTCCCCGGGGTGGCCTTGGCTGGCCGGCTATCCTCCCCTGGTTGTTATGTCTAAGAAAGGCTCTGTTCTGCTGCCCCCCCCATGAGAACATCTGTAGGCCCTGAACTGATAAGCTGGTGGTGAACTCTGACATCATACTCACAATCGTGTTCTTCAGTTAGGGTTCATGGTCTGACACACACATAACTCACATGAGACCCCTTTGCACGTCACACCTCCTCCTTGTACCAGGCTTGTTTTGTCTATATGTGTCTATATGTGCTTAGGTGCCGAGGTTTTTTCCTTCATCTCAAACTCTGCCCTGCAAAGAGCAAAGTGAGACATGCTGTTTTTTTTCCTGTCCTTACCTGATGTTTTTCTTATTTTTCCCATTTCCTCTGCAAGGCGGTGCCTGTCGGGCTCCAAGGCCTCAGCCAACAGTCCCCCCCCTCCCCCTCGTGTTGTTGTGTAAAGGATGGTTGTACTGGTACTACAATTTCATTGTCTTTCTGACAATGACAATAAAATTATTCTGATATTAGTCTGGCTCCTCATTATGCCTGTGTTGAGGCAACTCGCCAGCCCATACACTCCCGCTATCAATTCAAGCCATTACTGGATTATGGTTGCCCAGAAGGACTGAAAAAATGATGCTACATGAAGCAAAGAGTTCTATCAACACCTGATAAGCAATATGTGGTGTGTAGGATCATATTTGGTGACCACATCTGGATCACTGTGGGCCATTTGGAGAATGGCTGTTAGGGTGGGATAGAAACACACAGGCAGACAATGGGGGGTAAAACAGCAGGGATGTCTCACCTCAGCAGGATGACAAGGTCCGCATCTCCTGACAGTCGGGTCAGTCCTGAAACGCCATCTGTGCGGATCAGCTGGACCTTCTCCCTGATACCACATCAAACATTCCATCAACAAGGATTTCTCCTTCTTTATTTGCATTTTGTCATTTTTTTAAATATATTTTTTTTAATTGAAAGAATGATATGAATTTCTAAATTAAAAGTAGTTTATTTTGAGTTATCTCTAATATGTCTTGATATTTTACTAATACAGTTAGAGCACAAACTGTGAAAAGTCAACTAGTTTGTACATTTCAACTAAATAATTTGGAAGAAAATGGAGGAAGCTTGCAAACCTGAGATAACATCTCAAACATTTTGAAGAACATGAAAATATTGAAGCATGAAAATATTCAAGACATCAGCCAGGACACAAATAGACACAAATGCTTTCTCTAGTCCAGAGAACTCCAGAGCACTTTAGCACTACATTCACACACACCCCAATGGTGGCAAGCTACATTGTCGCCAGGGCTCTTCTGGGGCAGGGTGACAGAAGACAGGCTGCCATGCACTCACATTCTGACATATTATACTGAATTTAAAAAGTAAACAAACTGAGAAATACATAACGTAAAACATTGTAACAATGAAAGAAGACATGTTGGTGTACCTGAGTACATGGTTTCGGCTGAAGTCCGGCTGTCTCTCCTGCAAAATCTCAAAGATGTTTGGTTGTCGAAGAAAAGCCACAATCTTATCATTGTAAGCTATATGAGACAAGAAACAAGCGGGTCAGTTTTATTTGTTTCATTAAATAAAGCTACAAAGATCAAAAAGTTAAAAATGTGGTACCGGACATGTCGCATCATGAATTATGGACTAACTGTTTCTGAAGATAATGTTATGTTTTAATTAATATTAAAGTAGGTATTGATTTCTGTGGATGAAAGAAATTACCTTTGTGGGTTAAAAGTTCCATCTTAAAGCCGACAGAAATTATTTGGATGTTTTTAAGTGGATGTGGAATCGGTGGTGGATGCTCCTACCACCAACAGATAGGATTTATTTTTCTTAATTTACTTTATTAGTAATAACTTACATTATGTTTAAGTTAGTCATTTTATTTAGAAATATTTTCTAATGGGTGCACACTTTAGTTAATATTTGTCTGAATGGTTTTACTCATGCTTTTTTCTTTTGTTTGAGGTGCTGCCAACACATACGGGCTGGAGGAGGAAGCCTGGTATGTTGTTTAAAGTTTATTTTAATTGTTTTATTTTGTCAATTAAATATTCACTTATTATTGTTTGTGCCAAGTTAAAGTTAGTTTTGCTTTATTTGTTTCATAGGATGTTTTAGGTAATTTTGTATTTGTTTGTTCCTTTGTTATGTTGCGCCTCCCTCGTGTGATGGGTTTAAGTTACTCCACCCCTATTAAAGCAGCCTTTTGTTCTTTGTTTGGAGGTCAGTTTTGTTTGTTCAGTTAGTGTTTAGTTGATCTCAGTTAAGTTAGGCCAAAATCTGTCATTTTTCATTTGACTCATTTTTGGCTAAAACCTAATGTTTTTTTAACCATTTTTGGAATTATTAAAATTATTATTTTTTTTTTTTTTGCCTTTTTGAAACCCTTTTTTTTGTGTTTAAGTCAGGTCCCTCACATGATCATTAAATATAATTGAAAGCTAGGCCCATATTCTCAAAGAATCCAAAGATAAAGTAGCTGATGAGTAAAATGGACCGAATATTCAGTTGTTAATTCATGTTGTTGAGTCAGATTAAGGTTGCATTCACACTGCAGCCTGAAGTGACAATTCCAATTTTTTTTTTCTTGTTGTCAAATCTGATTGTTTTGCCATGGCCGTTCACACTTCCAAATATATGTGACCTGTATGTGTTCTCCAGTGTGAATGGGCAAACATTTTTCTTTTTTGTAAAATGACATCACTATGAGTAGTGACATAATTTATAGAATTTCTGGAATTTTAAGATTTTTCTTAGAATTTAAACTCTAAGCTTAAAGTTATTCACAAACATTTTAGGCTTTAAGAGAGTTTCTAATATGAAAAAAAAAACATTAAGCGTAGTGAGGAGGGATTTTAGTGACCCTAAGAGTGTCTTAAACTGGAAAGACTGACAGAAAAGAACCTACTTCAAAGAGAACAAGCTTATGAAAGATTTTTGGTAAGAATTTTTCACAATGCCTGAATTTTAACTGTCTGAGTGAATGTGTGCTTGTCTGTCTGTATTATACTGACCCACAGGTACAACCTCTTGGCACTGCCCCCTGCTAGCTGAGGTGAAGGTACTAGAGGGTCGTGGCAAGACTGGAGGACCAGGGTGATGCGTTTCTTCACCCACCTGTAATGACAGGAGGACATACAAAAAACAATGATATACAGACAAAATATTAATCTGACTCCACAACATGATATAACAAGTAAATATTCAGGCAATTTTGCCCATCAACCACATCTGTTAACACTAGGGTGCCTGTCTATTTTCCCATACTGTTTTATAAAGATTGTTGCTCTTAAACACTGTTCTTCATTCCTTAATGAGGGAAGTATTAAACTGTGCTTCCATTAGAAATGTACGTAAAACTTTGTTAATTTTCCTCTAATGTAGAATTTTTTTTTTCACAATTACAAAGATTCCATTAAATAAGAAAAGCAATTAAAGGTTTGTGCACGCAACAAGTCATTAAAAGACATGCTGTGTCTTGGTCTTCCAACTCCTGTGGTCTTCTTTGTGGTTTGTACCAGTGTAACATCCAGTTGTTGATCATATGACGCAAACAAAGTTTCCATTCCAGTTTGTCAAGATAAATCAATTTCATTGTGGCCAAAAAAACCACCTCATCCTACCGCCAGAACTTTTTATTGACAATTGAGTTTTTCTGTAATTGGTGTGAGCAAATTGATTTCCAAAATACCAAATTGCACAATTACATGGTCAATGAAAATGCAGTTAGTGACTATATTTCTGCATCACTTTGTAAAATTTGTTACTCTAATGTAAAGAAAGAAAAAAATAATTACCTTTTTTCCTGTTTCAATTTTGTTTGAATTTCTCATAATTCTGCAACCCTTTAAGCAACCTCTATGTAGCATGGAAAAATGACAGGCCTTTAAAAGGCCCATGTAGCGAACTGTAGTCTTAAACCTAGAGAGTAAACCTAGGTGGGAAGCTTGGTTTTGCACTTTATTAGTCATTGGAGGATATCCATTTCTTGTGAACGAGTTTCTGCAAACACATCCTGGCTATGAATTGTGTGAAACTATATTTGGCTAGTTTGATTGATACAGATTTGATGAACATGCAGTCAATCGTCTTCAGTTGTTTTGCTAGTATGTGTCAGTTGCATAATCAGCTCTAAATCCCCATAAGCTCTTGTTATCCGATGTCAAAGAACAGTTAAAATTTGAAATTTCTTCAGTCTTACCAGTTGCCTTGGACTGACCTCCCCAGCACTGTGACTACGTTGTCGGGTAAGATGTTGGCGGTGAGATAGAAGACTTGGACGAGAGCTCTGAACAGGCAGCCGAGGATCAATGAAGGTGGTAGCACGGCAGTTATGATCCACAAAGAAAGGCTACATATGAACAAAATGTCATAAACTTAAAGTTGTTGAGATTGCAATCTGTAACTGTTAAGACAAAGTGACTATTTGTTTCTCAGCCAGACCTTGCCGCTGTGGTCATGCTTCATCTCCCAGCCTCTGGGCAGCTCAAGTTGTTTATTCGCAAACATGTTGAGAAAAGCCACCAGGTCACGGTTGTGCTGGTAGCGCTCAAAGTGGTGTGCATCTCTACGAACCTTACTGATCATATGCTTCAGACATGTGTTGGTGGTAAACATGCGATAGGCACTCTGAGTTCACAGGAAGAAGAAGAACAATCAGAGAAATTAGCAATCAATGTACAGTTATCAGTGAAATTATTGTTTGGTAAAGTATAAAACACTGTTACTGTGGAAGTGCATGGGATTTACAGTCACCCTATACATTTATATACAGTTTAGTTTATAAAAATGTTGAACATTTGATATTAAATCTGACTAAACATTTTCTGCTTTAGGTCAATTAGGAAAATTATTTTTTACTTGGAAAATACAAAATGAAAATTTTATTTACTCCCTTTAAAGGAGCAGCATTATGTGTTTTCCATGCACAGTGCCATTTTACAGGATAGTCAACTAAATATGTTAACTTCAGTTATAAAAATGCTACATTTATATCAAATATAACTTAGAATAAATTTGACGTCATAATTTAACCCCTTGAAATTGGGCCTCTGTCTCTTTAAAAACTCTTGCTCTTTCTGAAACTCTGTCTTCAGGAAGTCATCACAATATAATTTCACTTCAACACTGAGAAATAGCTTGTATAATGAGCTCAGGAGATGTGCAGTTCCACCAGGTGTTTGCTAATTGCTGCTGATAGTCTTAAGGAGCTGTGTGGTGGAGCGATGCTAAAGCTTGGACACTGCAGCTCAGAGGAGCTGTGTCTTGAAGGCAGCAGTAGTTCCACCCAGGCATTTGCACAGTTGTCATGGTAAATTAAAGGATTTCTCAAACATGCATGAAAGAATCAAAGTACCAATCCAGGTATGTTTTTGATGAGGGAGTAACATTATAACATGATGTACAGCTCAAAAAGTAGATTTTACATAATACTTCTCCTTTAAAATTTTCTGACTTTGGTCATGTGGTTTGGATTTCCTTCCAAAATCTTGCCACATACGTTTACTAGAATTTTGACTCATTCATCCTGATAGAACTGGTGGCCATCTTGCAGCAGTGAACTTCTTCACTGCTTCTCTGGGACTGGGATCAGGACTTTGTGATGGCCTCTTCAAAACATTAAGTTTGTTGTCCTTCAACTGTTTTGTAACTAATTTGGTGATATGCTGAGGAACATTGTCTATTCAGAAAAGATAACTGTGACCAAACTAACTTTGTGCTGATGTCTCGTGGTGCTGCTTTAATATTTCCACAACACATTCTTTCCACGTCATCTATTTTTTGGAGGTGATCAGCTGCCTTCTCTTAGATAGGCAATCTTATATTTACAGGCATTTTATGATCTACTAGCAGGTTATATACCTGGGCTGATTAGACCGGTTTGTATTGCAAAGTACTTTTGAGCAGTGTACATACAGGGTTGGAATGCAACACAGTGAAGAAGTCAGGACTGGTGAGGAACTTGGCGGTGGGGGACTGCAGCAGCAAGGAGATGCGAGATCTGGAACTGGCCTGAGCCGCACCGTTTTCCCTCCGGAGCTCTGAAAGGGAAATGAGCAATGTCAGAAAAAAAGAAAGCAGACAAGGGGTGGAAAAGCCTCTTTTCAACATTTTGTAATGTTACAACCACAAACTGAATACACATAAAATACAGTAAAATAAATGCAGTGAGTGGGCAAAAGATGTATGGTTTCAATCTTTTTTTTTAACAAACAAAACTAAGAAAGTGGGCGGTGTAAAAGTATTCAATTCAGCTTCCCTCAGTCAGAAGCTTGAAGAACCACCTCTTGCAACTGTTTTTGGATGCACACAAGACAGGACATTTATGGGAAAAATAATAAAAGAGGACCACGGCAGGAAAGGAGGATAAAACGGGTCGTTTCCCAGCCAAAACAGGAGACTTGAAAGGTATGGACTGTACAGAAACACACATCATTCATATTTGAAACTTTGAATGCAGTTTATTTTCCTTACAATTTCCAAATATGTTCTAGTTTGTGCAGATTAAACACATACATTGTGGTTATAACATGACAAAAGGTAGTAAGCTGAGTGGTGTATTTTAATGGCAGAGTATGGTTAGGGTGCTACCTGGAACAGATGGATGCATATCAGTCTCATCCCCAAGCAGCTCATTGGCTGGCTGCTCCTCCTGTCTGCTATCATTTGTTATGGTCCTTCGGATACTCTGATACCTGCACATGTGAATGTCAATACAAAATACTAGCTAAACATTGTGTAAAGGTGGAAAGATTAGTGTATTATTAAAATCCTTTTCTCATGTGACTTTCATGACCCACTTAGCATCGTTTTTGCTTCTAATGAAATAAGAATTTTAGGTGCCAGCAATGAGTGGTGATCCTCCAATCAGAACGAGAACAACCTCCTAACCTTTTTATTTTTACAGGAACTCTGAACATGATGACTACCACTCATGGAACTGAAACTATTGGTATTGACCTGCGGTTGAGCTGTTCCATCTGCTGTATGGAGCTGGACCTCTGTAGAGTCTGTGGGGCCGGAGGAGCAGTAGGCCGCTGCCATGTTGTTGTTCTGTTCACATGATCCACATAAAAGATGCGACCATGACTGTCGATGCGAGCCTCCCAATCTGGATTAGGAAGATAGTGGGAAAGGTTTCAGACTGAAACACAAATCACAATGAGCAACAAAAACTCAGAATGTATGTAACAAATGAATGAATGTAAAGGAAAATGTCTGCCCCTGAATCTGTCATAGTCAAACTTTAGGAAAACTTAAGAAAATGTAACTTAGAGCAAACAAACACTTTTTATACCCTTATTTCTGTTGGAACATTACATTTTATTTCTGTTAATTGTACCCTAATTTATGTGGTAATAATATTTCTGCTGTAGTTCATAACTTCTGCCAGACAGTGGCCAGTTTGTTATACTGAGCTGCTGCTCAGTCAGAAATGGAGCCAACCTGTCAACCTGCAATGAAGCTTTACAATAACAGGAAGTTATTCTGAAGTTAGTTGGAATAAAAACAAGCGACACATCAAGTTCTGAGTATTCCTGTACATTTCATGTAGGATATGCAAACGCCTACTAGGAGGCAGAGGCTCATCTACTCTCTGATAGCGACTGATGTCATGGCGGACAGAGGGAAGAGACCGAACAGACTGATGACCGTAGACCTGAGCTGTGGCACCTGCATTAAAAATACAACATCTGGATCAATTGCTAACCTAAGACATATCATTTTAGCTGTTGATCAATTTTAAGGGTACTATACAGTTCAGTAATATATTGGATACATTGCATAAAACACACCGTCATGACACCGACATTAAATCATACCCGACTTTTCCTGTTTGATGTCAGTTAGAATTACATCAATTATTTCTTTTTGCTAGATGAGAAAATGAGAAAATGTTAAATAATTTTATGACTTATGCCAATTTCAGTAGATGGATATAAATTTTGTGACTTACTGACCTAAAACAGGTTCTAATCTTAGTCTAATCTTAGCAGATGTGAGTTCTCTCCTTGTACTCTGGCTTCCTCCCACATTAGAAAAAATGACTGTGAGGTTAATTCGTTAATTCTCTAAATTGCTCTCCAGGTTTCCCTGTGATGAAATGGCAACCTGTCTAGGGTGTACCCTGCCTCTCACCTGATGACCCCTGGAGTAGTCAAAAGGTCCCCTGCGCGACCTTGCAAGGATAAGCAGTTATTGCAAATGAAGGAATTGGAGAGTCTAAAGCTAAAATAAAACAGCTTCATGACTCTGTAGGCTTATATCATTTACTAGTGCACAAGCTCAAATAAGCTTAGCTCAGTGATTCTTGAGAATAGAGATAAAACAGGTCCTATGCATAAAGCACAAAATTTGAATAAAATATACACAAAATATTATTTTTTCAAATATCTGATTAAACT